CTTTTTACTATTTTATCTATGGTCGGTTTGTGTTGTCTTGTTACTACGGGTTATTATATCGGATTTGATTGTTATTTCATTTTAGGTTGTGAAGGGATTTTAAGTTTTATGACATCTTATTTTAAGGTATTATTTGATTGCAACTTTTTCAAGAAATCGTGTTCTCTTTGGCTTTTGTGTGGATTTGTTGCTGTTGTTTTTGTGCGGGTTAGTGTCGTGTTATTGTTCTACTTTGAGATATCATAACACCTGCGATTTGTATAGGGTTATAGAATGGGTGAATTAGGGTGAAGGAAATAGAATAAAGACGGAAAAGATATTGATAGATAGATAGATAGATAGACAGCTCGATAGATGGATAGAGATAGAAGAACAGGTACTAGGAGAAAGAGAGAGACAGAGACGAATAGACAGACAGAGAAAGATAAACCGACAAATAGTTAGCTTGATGGGTAAATAGATAATATAGATAATTAGAGAGAATGAGATAGAGACAGAGGCAGAGAAAGGTAAACGGAAACATAGACAAGCAGATAGAGAGAGATAGAGAGAGAGAAGAAGAAAGGAGAAAGGTCAATAAGAGAAAACAAGGAAAACCAAAAAGCATAAAAGGAGGAGAAAGTCTGCTAAAATAATATCCGAAACCGCAGCTAATGCTATGAGAGACAGGCAGATGCATAGGCTTACATACCCAGCTGCAGGAGAGGAGAGGAAAAAGAAAGAGAAAAGGGGAAACTGTAGGTGATCGTATGAGATTCCGCCAACCGGAGGGGGACCAGGCGACCGAGCTCTGCCATGCGCCAGTGAAGGATCCAGCCACCCTTGCTTGCGAAGGATCATGTCTGTCATTTCCCTTTCTGTAAGCGCCTTCGTCCTATCCTCCTCCTCAGGATTTCTTTCTTCCCTCGAGGATCTTGCAAAGGAATCAAATTATAGAGATTTGCGGAAGAAAAATCGGAAATACCATCGGGGATCTCTGATAATTCAATGACAATCTAACTTTGATAAGATATATTCCGTTGTCCTGAATCCAGACGCCATTGCACCCGTCAAGAGCAGGAAAGATTAGTAACCGTAATCAAAGACAATCTAACTTTGATATCTCCGTTGTCCTGAATTCAGACGCCATTGCACCCGTCAAGAGCAGGAAAGATTAGTAACAGTACATGTAGCCGAGAGAAATATTCCCTTGACACGGATCAGTTGACAAGTATTTCCGCTAACACAACGACATAGTACTGAACATAAACCTACTAATGGAGTGTATGTATTCCATTAGCCGAGGGCCCTGGCATGAACCATCCAGAACCACTTTGGTAATGGGGGAGGGGGGGGGGCTGCCGTCGCTGGACTTACGACTCGCCCTTTTCACCGAACCCGCCCGACTGTCGTTCGAAACATGATTCATTTGTCTCGCACTTACAAACCCTTTATCTTTCGCCTCGTCGTCAGGGTCGTCTGTCACCGCGTAGGATTCGGAAGAAAAAACACGAGTGTCAGTCGAGTATGTATATTGAGGTCTTTATCTAGTGACGGACCGACCCATCCGGTGTGCGCCCCCGCCCTGATAGCGACCGGAATGCAAGGCAGGAATTGATTAGCTGTTGCGAGAAAAAGTGCACACGCGCATGTTGGCGCATAGATACGTAAACACACACACACACACACACACACACACACACACACACACACACACACACACACACACACACACACACACACACACACACACACACACACAACACACCAAAAACAAACAAACAAAACCGAGAGACCTCTATGTAATAATAATTTTGAGGAAGAGAAAACACCCGATGACTAGACGGAAGATAGAGAAAAATCATAAAAAAACAAACAAACAAACAAACAATGAAAGTAAGAAGAGAGAACAAAGAGAGACGAAAACGTACAACCGAAGAAAGGAAGAGCGGGAGAGAAAGGGAAGAGCAAACTGCATTTGTTTACACAGTAGGAATATAAAGAGCGTACTTGTGGCGCTTCCGACGACCCTTCGGTGCGTTTGCTGTTTGTGTTGGTATTTTTAAGCGCTTTTGAAATTTTAATGAAGAGCGTTTTCAGTCTCTTTGTAGTGTTGATGTAACAGCGTCAAGAATATTTACAGTGTTCCTGTTTGGTGTGTTTGCGCGCTGTATAGTTTACCCGCTTCTATTCCAGTCCGGTTAACAGCCCAGAAGCCACGCCACTCTCAGCTCGCTAATTTGGAGTCTAAACTTAACACAGCAGATCCAGGTACTTACTTAGAGAAAAAATCTTCGGTGTGGTCTGAATTTCAGCTCTAAAGACATGGAAGAAAAGGATGAAAGGATAATAACTAAATTAACTGACCTTACACTTGAGACAAAAAAAAGCATCAATACAAGAAATTTAATCTACTTTATTATACTTCATTCTTATTTTCTTTCTTACTGCTTTCTTCTTTCACCTGTCTTCTTGCTTCGGAGTTGTCTCCCTGAAAGCTGTTGAGTCTTGCTTAATAAACCATCTCTTAAACTTGAAACCTATTGCATGGAAAGGGTATGTCCAACGTAATATATTATAGAGAATATAAAGAATTTCTGATTTGGAAAGGAAAATAATAACATGAGCCCTCTTTTAAACAAATAAATGATACATAATATTCAACATTATATATAATGTAATTCATTTCGTATAAAAAACAGGTCTTAATTTAGACTGATTTTATTCATTTCTCCATAAGGGTATATGCATTTTCTATGTAAATGGACAATTCTTAGCTGTTTCTTTTTTCATTCTACTTCTCTTTATCCATCTCTACTTCTCTTCTCTTTTCTCTCTTCTCTTATTTTCTTCACTTCTCTTTAAGCTCTAATATCGGCAATCGAATGATAATTCTATATGATTGATAATCAACAATCAAAACACAACTTTTGCTGTGACTTCATAGTCTATTTCTTTATGGATTAGTTACTTGTTTTATCATAATGTATATATATATATATATATTATATATATATATATATATATATATATATATATATATATACATAATATATATGTGTATATGTGTATACACATATATGTGTATATATATAGAGAGAGAAGAGAGAGAGAGAGAGAGAGAGAGAGATGGAGGGATGAGAGAGATATACACTTTTTTTTCTTATTAGAAATAATAAATAAATAAATAATATAAAAAACGGTTATTGTAATATCTTCATTGTATATGATAATATACTGATATTTGACATAGACCGTTCAGTCTTTTGATATTGTAAATAACAGGTATTTATACATCTTCATAAAGTAAACAGCAAATCCAAATCTCCACTTACTCTTAATTCTCCCCCCCCCCACCCTCCCGCCCCAAATGTTCATATTTTCAACACTTCTTATAGTTACCCCTGAAAATAAGAGTAGTTTTCTATTACTTTAGAAAACTTTTCTGGTAAACTATGGTAATGTTGAAGATGCTTCCTTCGATATGGGTTTGCAATTTATAAACAAGGTAGGAAGGTGATATTCTGCATATGGCAATATCATATATATTTCCATCCATAATTAGCTTTTACACCATCATATATCTTTCTCAGGTTTGCTATGCGAAAATAAGTTTTATATCATTTTAGTAAGTAGACAATTACACATATGATTTTATTTCCATGTTACTTTTCCTAAAGCTAATACTGTAGCTATTACCTCCAATACAGTTTGCTAAAAAAAAAAAAAAAAAAAAAATAAAAAATGAAAAAAGTGTATGGAATGGATATTTTGACGACGTAAAGTAAGACGCTAAGGATAAAAGGCGCAAATCGAAGATAAAGGAGATACGTGACAGAGAAGAGAGATCTTTTTCTATGACCCTCTCCATGTTGACATCGTGAACGAAAACGTTCCTGCGATCTGTCAACTAGTTCCATGTATTACCACACGCTTGTGAAAACGTTTTTTTTTTTTTTTTTTTTTTCGTTATTGTACAAAAACCTGCGCATTTCCCTTTTCGCCGCCGCGATTTTTGATCGCCATTCAGTCTAAACGCCGTTGGAAAATGTTTTGCTTTCAGTGTTACGTCGATTAGGGTCAAAATTATATATTGGTTATGCAGAAGAAATAGACCATAGTAATTATCATAGCTTGATATGTAAGCCCATCAAGTGCCCCAAATGCCGAAAAAAGTGATTAGAAACCAAGCATTTCAGACCAGACAAAGCAGTCTGATTAAGGTATGTGGTCTAATCTTCCCGGTATATGATGTCTAGCACATTTATTTTCTTGCCATTGTTACTCACTTACTCTTCACGGTATAGACGAGCACACCGAAGTGAAAACAATGTTTGTTGGGAGGTGCTGCCCCATCAACCCTCCCCTCGCGCAGCACCTGAAAGGCACAACTAGTCATGGAAATTGAGATTGTTGAGGTAAGTTTGAGACGTGGAGTTAGGTTTTGTTTTTGGGTCAGGACGTGTTGTACGAGTGTCGTTGGGGTTTTAGATGGTGTTGATTCCCGTAGATTTTACCGAAAGATTTGTTGGATTCCCGTAGAGTATTTCAAAAGTTGGCGTGCTCGTACGTAGACTTTCGAAGGTGGCGGGCACGTCCGTAGAGTTTCATTGTCCGATTTTAAGCGTTTTTTTTGTACTGAATTCACGCCTGTTTTGTCCTGTAATTTCCCTGATATATACTTCATGCCCTCCCCTGCTATCGGGACTTAAATCACGATTGTCGGGTGTGAATGCGACGGAAATGCGATAATAAGTTTGAGGATATAAATATTGTCATGGAAGTCCGCTTGTCATAACTGAAAAAAACATCTTTAAATCAACCAACTTGCATGTCTGTAACAATGCTACATCATTATGCATTTAACAGGCATGTGTTATGCGAGTAGTGAATACATAACACTAAAGTTCTAATTCTAATATACTAGCATATATAATAATATACTAATATACTAATATAATAGCCTAATATACTAGCAGAGTCCTTAACACCGTCGAAATAACAGGATGAGTAATAGAACATTGCCAATCAACAAACATTTATTTTAGTTATCCTCCAATCTGATACAGTTTTCTATATCTCCAATATTATTCATAGAAAACTAGGGTATTCCGAATTGACAAACTATGCTAAGAAAATTGCTTCTTTGAATTCATCACATACTTATGAAATACATGTTTTCGTCTTTACAAAGGTTATTTCATTCGAGTGTGCTGCTTTACAGTCATAAAAATTAGGAAATTTGGAAAATGGGATAAATTACATAAGGTAAAATTTTCTTTTCCTTTCTTTCTCCTCTCAGTATATTATGCATTGATTTATTAATCTAATTCTTCATTCATATTATTACTGAACAATTTAGTTTGTGTCCTAATGCAAATAACTATTCATTCAATCTGGTGATCCATTAAGCTGTTTTGTCAATGTATCCTGTATGTTGAACTGTATGAAATTAAAAGGAAAAAAAAACAATGAGTTTTTTCACCACTGTTATCATATGAGCTTATTTCAAATTCCTCATTTTATATCCATAAATTCAACTCTTCCTATCGCTTAAAACCCATAAAAAAAACATTATGTTTCCACGAATTTGACCAATTTACACGACGCAAAATGATACTCACCCGGAGGGTAACAGCAGTAGCAATCCCCATTACAGCCCCTTTTCGACAGATAATATCCACTTCTGCAGAAAGAAGGGTGACCCACGCAGCGGCCCCCGGACGCTTGGCAAGACGATTCCATTTCACACTTTCTGCAGCACCTTGAAGCATAAATCGAGGAAAAGGTGGTTAAGTCTCGGTCTCAGATATTTCCCTCTCTTATCGATAGGATCAGACTATTTATGGCGTTTCAAAGAAAAGGGATAAAGCAATATAAGTTACTTTGATGAAAAATTTTGTGGAGTATAGATGCTTCTACGTTTTTGCCTTGTGTGTCTCGTCGGTTGCCTCTATGTGTTTATGGAAAGTCTGATAGTACCATAGATGAAATAAGGTTCAGGTATTTTCGCATATATAGTGCATGTAAGTAAATGAAATAGTTTGTCTTTTACTGGATTAATATAAACAAGAGGAAATCAAGACTACAGCAGACAGATACTCAACTCACTGACAATATGGACTGTGACACTGTACTGAGATCGGGTACTCGTTCCACTGGCATGTCCTCCTGCACGTGGCCCCTTCTTTTCGTAAACAATCGGAACATATTCTAACGTTGCAGTCTGTAAACACGGAGATCAAATTGATCGTATATTCAGTAACAAGTTGCGGTCGTGAATGAACACATAAGTGGTGTTGGGAACTTAAAGGATAGGACCTCCCACCCTTCCATCTGCAAAATTGCAAATGTTTTAGGACGGAAATAATTATGTATAAATGTGTGTGTGTGTGTGTGTTATCTAACATATATTTATGTTATATTCGTGATATATAGTTTGTTATATTCTTATCAAATATATCACTAATATGGTATCCCATTTTTTCTTGCATCCAGTTCACGTTACTTCTTCCCACACGGAATCCTTTTCGAGACAGCTGGGAAAAATAAATAACCCTCGATTGCAGTAAATACTCACATGCGTCAAGTTCTCCAGGCAACGTGCCGCTCTTTGCTGCCTGCCACACACTACCTCATTTGTGAATGGTTTCAACGAACTCGTGCGGTAATGTCGCATACCAAATGCCCAAATGTTGCCTCGATGGCCCAGGTATGACCTTATAAATCAACTCTTTGTATTCACGTACATTTGCTTACTCTTTGCAATCAGCGTATTATATCTGACAGGTCGAAGACACCGTAATACATCTTATAACTATTCTTACCGGCTCAGAAAGTCATGAGTCCTGTTATTGTACCATTAAACTGTACCAATAACTGCAACTGTAAAAAAAAACTGAACCGATACATACTCAGGCAGCAGCCACAGCAGTGCTGGTTGGGACAGGAATCGGGGAGGAAATAGTCACAGCGAATCAAGTTGTTGTCGTAGAGATAATTGTGACGGCACTCGCTCCCGTGGACGTACTTGCACTGGCTGGAGGGAAGCACGACAGCGTGATTAGTAATAGAGAAGTGTCGTGCTTTTGAGGTCAGCAACAATTATTTTATATCTTTAAATGTGTGTGTGTGTGTGTGTGTGTGTGTGTGTGTGTGTGTGTGGTGTGTGTGTGTGTGTGTGTGTGTGTGTGTGTGTTGTGTGTGTGTGTGTGTTGTGTGTGTGTGTGTATGTGCGTGTGTATGTATGCATATATGTGTATACACAAGTACACACACACACACACACACATATGTATGTATGTATTTATGAATGAACACAAACATAGTAACGTGTACACAAAAATAAAATAATGTCAGCCTCATTGAGAATGGAAAATAATCGTAACGTTTCGAGCTCTTCATGAGTTCGAAACTGATCCATTTCGGTTTTGTCTGAAGAGGAACTCGTGAAGAGTTCGAAACGTTACCATTATTTTCAATTCTCAATGAGCTGACTTCATTTTCGTATGCATGTATATATGTATATATGTGTGTATATGTATATATTATATATATATATATATGTATGTATATATATTATATATATACATACATATATACTATATATATATATATATATATATATATATATATATATATATATATATATATATATTATATATCTGTATATACATGTGTGTGCGTACATATGTATATGTAAATATATATACACACATATATATGTGTGTATGTATAACATACATATATATATATATATATATATATATATATACATATATATATAATATATTATATATACATATATATTTATATTATATATATATGTATATGTGTGTATGTATGTATATATATACATATATACACACACATATATATATATATGTATGTATATATATTTATTTTTTTATTTATACATGTATTTATTGCACATACATGACGCATTGCGTCCGTGTGTGTGCTGTACTTGTATATTTGAGTTGGACTCAAAGGCATCTAGTGATATTATCTTGTAACAAGAATAGCTTTATGCTATGGCTTACTACCGCTAAACAACAGGATACCCTCAACAGGCGTTACACGTACCAGGAGTTCGAGCAGCAGCGGTCAGGTGTTGAGATCAGGTAAGCCGTATCGTTGGTGCACATCCCGTCAGGCAGGTCAAGTTCCCTTATCTCGAAAGTGTTATCGTCAACTGCCCTCTTGTACGAGTCTTCGCATGTTGCACACTTCGTCGCTGCATCCTTAAGAGTGGGAGATGTGAGTCACTTCGCGGCAAAGACAGAGAGAGAAGTTCGGCAGAATTTTCGCTAAATCAGGATCTGTATTCGAGTTGGGAAGTTTTTAGTCTCCGGACATTTGCTGTTAAAATATTCTGGGTTTGGAATGGTCTTCGGTGTTTGCTGGAAAATGCCTTGGGTTTAGAAGGTCTGTGATTAACTTGCTGTAAATGACTTGGGTTTAGATGTTTTTGCCTTGCTGTAAAATGCCTTGAGACTTAAAAGGTTTGTGATTAGATTGGCTGTAAAATGCTTTGGTTTTAGAAAGTTTGTGGTTAACCTTGCTATAAAATCCCTTGGGTTTAGGTCTCTGGTTAATTTTACTGTAAAATGCAATGGGTTAGGTTTGTGGTTAACTTTGTAGTGAAATGCCTTGGGGTTTGGTTAACTTTGCATAATATTTTATATACCAAATGTGGTGTTTAAAGGCATTGTATGCACTATTTAAGTCATGTCAAATCAAAATCAATTTATTCCTATATTTTTCAATTTATACCTGTCTTTATCTAGGAAGCTGTCTAGATATTTCTGTCTTTATATCTGTCTGCTGTTCTGTATATTTATCTATTATCAATATTATATATATAATCGCGTCAAACTATATTAATTTAATTGAGGACATGAATGATTGGCAACTCACGGATGTATACGAAATCAATACCTTACGTCGGATGCTATTTGATTCGTTTGCTTAGAACCGACGCAAATTTTTTAAATTCTGCAATTTTCCATAAGAATAGTCTGAGGGATTTTCTGGACATAATCCTTTTTGGAATCTGTTTATTCAAAAGTATTAAAAAAAAACTTCCTCTCCACACCAAGTGCAAGAGATATCGTCATACCCAGTTGAATAATATGGATACTTATTAATCTCTACTTTTGTGATGCATAGCTTACACAATTCATTTCCAAACCACTAAAAATATATATTCTGTAAACCCAGAAGTGTACAGTCGACCATTTCCTTTGGTGTTCATGTGTGTCAAGAATGGAAATTCGTTTTTCCTTTTAAATTTCACATTTTAACTTAATGTTAGGGATGTTTATCTTTAAAAGTAGAATAAATAGTTAAACAATGGTGAGGGTTTTGACAGGAGTATCCGTTTCCAGCAAAGTTTCTTTCATATAATAATGTATATATATATAAACACAGCGACACACTACACAACACGCACCATCACACGCACACACACACACGCACACTAATACACCACACACACACACATATACTAACACACATCACAATACACCACACAACATCACACAACACTACACATCAACCACACTCTATATACTATCTGCATACTAGTAGGTGAACCAACTTGAGCACGAGCGAGACACCCACTACGACACTCCACATCACATACATCAACTAGCACCTCACAAACACACACGAATTCACGATCAAAAGTAAAAAAAAAAAAAAAAAAAGAAAACAATAAAAAAAAAATTCAGGTATATTAGTATAATATACGTATATATATATAATATTAATATACTATAATATTTACCCAATATTGTAATGAGTATGTTGTATTTAATTTTCTCTCGTCTGCTTTGAAAATACCAAACTGTCGAGAGTGGAGATTAACTATTATAGTTGTTCTTATCTAATGAATATCTGTGTATACTCACATTCTGCAACACTTAAAGAATAAATTTATGTCAGTGATCAACAAGCCACCTTGGTGTCATCATATTTCACTAGATCTAAATATGTGATTTTCAATCTCGAAGCCTGTCCTACTAGAGAACCGATTATACTGCTGTTAATTCCAGTATATACATATTGCTTGAGGTGACCTGAAATTTCACTGTCTGTCCACACAGGTGATACGTATACTTGTTAATATCAAGTTTAATTATTCGTAATTTTTCAAAATCTAATATTATATGATTAATAATTGATTAACGTTACTATATAAATCATCCTTACCAATCTATGTAATGTAGTTTAATATATAAGCCAGCGACATAGTTGATGTGACTAACTATTAATAATTGCTACGTGTATAACGCCAATAAATAATTATTAAATTTTTCTCGCATAAATCTATTCTGTATCGTACTTTGTATATATTACTGTATTATATTTTACAGTATAATATATAATAATTGTCGTAAAATATTTAGACACTTTTTATTCAAAATTGCCTCTTTTATTAAATATCAATTGCCTATTTTTTATTATAAGATAATCAAACTATATATATATACGTTGTGTTACGACTGAGTTCACTATTACAGAAAGTAAATAAAGTAGAGTTAATGCCTATTCCTGTAGAATTAAAGGTAATTATATTACTATACAAAATGCTACACAAACCATCATTTTATAAAAAAATATAATATAATAGTTTAATGTAATATAATTATATAAGTTATCGTACTCATAATAGCATAATTACTCATAACCTAATCTATATAATATAAATGAGGTTAAGAGCTAACATTATACAACAAAGACAATATTGTACAGGTATAATATAGTCGATACTACCTGAATTTAACCTTTATAAGACTTAGTATTCTAACATTGAATCGATGCCTTTTTCATTACATAATCAAATGCTAGTTAGCGTATTATAGGGTTTATGAAAAGATTTTTTTTTATTTTTATTTTTTTTTCATTGTTCTAATCCTAGAGGTGCTTTAGCCCCGCTTTTTACGATTAGTCATATAAAATTTATATAGACTTATATATATTATACATAGTTATCAGTACTGATTCGCATGATCTCATGAATATTATTTATTATATAATATATGAATGCAGATTATATTTAATTATAGGTATTGAGATTGACTGAGATAGGGACTTGAATTATCATACTATTTATACCTCTATGCTATTATTTATTACTATAGGTATAATTATGCTAATATATAACGTCTCTGGAGTGTACTTCTATATGGTTTATCTTTATGCATACGTTAATCTCAACTCTTTACCTTACATCATTACTTGCTGAAACTCAGTATTTAAATTCCAACATACATGCCGTGTATTCTATTCATAAATTTATTATGGCTAGAATATATCAACTTTTCTCTGCTCACGAAATAGTTACCGTACTTTATATTGAGCAAGTCATTGCAATGTAACGTGCTGTATACTACACATATTGCCCGTTATTGCTTGAATAGACATGTCACTTTATTCGAAATTTAATCATATGATGGTCGACATAGTTACATATTTTATTTTTTAGTATACCTGTGGCGAGAGTGTCTGATTTTTGTTTTCAAGAAGAGGAATTCATTTAATGAAAGAACATGGTAGCACTCGTTTGCTTCCAGATAAGACAACATATCAATTTTCCCCTGATGC